TTATCATATCCCCATTCTTACCTATCATCCCATCTGTCACAGTAAATCAGTACTGCACGTAGTCAAGGCCATCTGGTATCATTTTCTACTCCTCAGGGGACCTCGGTGCAAGCAAATTCTTCTTTACTCTCTCTGTAATAGCCATGTCTGCTTGTGTTTCTACTGTGAGGTAGGTGGCAGTAGGTCTAGCAGATAGCACTAACCAAGCGCCAGGCATTTTCCCTCTTTCATTCTCTAAATCCCTCCAGGAAGTCTATAATCTTCTCATCAACTGGGTTTGGGTTTTTTGTTTTTTTTTTCCAGTTAATGATTTCTTAATGGACTGTAGAAACTGAAATAAAGCTGTGCTTCTCTTCATCTCAGTGCGGTCAGGTACTTTCCATACTGTTCTAATTATTTTATTGTTCACAGTTCTTTAAAAAAAAAAAAAAAAGGGAAATAGGTTTTTTCAGCACCTGATGGTAGGTGCAGAAGCTGCTCTATCATTAACTTGTGTGAGGGTGTCACACCAAGATAGGAGTTTTTGATAATTATTCCCTGTGATGTCAGATGGCCAGGAGTTGAATGCAAAAACCTGCTGTTAATTCTGACTTCAAAGAACCATTTCCAGCTGGATTGTGTTAGAAAAAGTATGTTAAGGAGACCCAGGAAAACTACTATGTTTATTCAGGAGCTAGTTCAGAGTCATCAAGGAGCTTTTGACAGTAGCAGATGTGTGGTGTGGTTACCAGCTTTACGCAGAGTAACGCTGTGGAATAAATGTATCTGCTGCTCTCTTCCTGTTCTGTGCTGCTTGGCGTGGGACTTTGGGGGAGGAGGACGTGATTACTGTTTTGGGGTGAGAGGAGAAGTGGTTGTGTTGTGGTGGGAAAATTTGAGTTTCAGACTTCTTAAAAAAAAAAAAAAAAATCATTTTTCTCTGATTTTCTTACATCTCTTAGCAGCCTTGGCTTTCCAGGGAAGAACATGGCGTGGTCATTGCTGTTTACCTGTCTCCTTGTATGGAACTGTAATTTTAATGTCTCTTTTTTCAAACCATTTGTACACAAAATCATTCCATGAATGGCTGCCTTATAATTTTTCCACTTTAATTGTGAATGGTTATAAAATAATGTTGCAGTTTTCAATTTGTTTTATTATATTAAATTTTTACTAGGTGCAGTGCTTCAGTGTTGGCTTTTCATTTACTATAGGGATTTTGTGACAGCTCCTGCAAAGAGAAATGACAGATTTAAATGGAATGCAAGCATTGCAGACAATGCCATTTATTTTTGGGTAATTGTGTTTGCAGCTTCCCTTCATAATATGTGAGCACCACTTGGAAATCTGAAGCGTGAAACTGACTGCATGTTGAGAGGCAGTCTGGCATGTCGATTTAGACATGGAGTGAATGATTTCAGAGTAATAAATACAGACATGATTGGACAGGTCTGCTTAAGGGGGGCATTTGACAACTTCTGTCTCCCACAGAGCATTTAGGAGTTGGTGTTGCTCTGAAGTTCTCTTCCTGCTTACAAGGCAGAGACCTTCCATGTTAGGAGGGTCAGAGGGTGATGGCTGAATAAGACTGATGGGGACGTGCTAGGGCTAAAGAAAACTGAGAGCTTAGGATGTAATGAAAACAACCAGCCCCCAGCCCAAGCTGCAAATGCTAAGTTACTCCATTTTTCTGCAGACTTGGTAGCAGAGCAGGCTCTCCCAAATGAGTGGGTGTGATTTGGGTGAGAAGTATGTATGCAAAACCATACCTGCCTTTTGCTTTTGTGAGATGAGGAAAAACTGTTAATGCTTGAGGAAATGAGGAAAAACTGTTTCTGCTTGTTCTTTCTTTCATCCCATCTTGTTCTTGCCAGACCCCTTCTCACATCTCAGCATTCTGTATGACTGCCACGGGATCCTGGTGCAGTCCTCCTCACAGCTCTCTGGCACTACAGTTAGATGTCAGTACTGCCATAGGTTTTCCTGAAGGCAACCTGTCTTCTTCCTGCTGTGTGCGATGAAATCAAAGCTGGTATTAAGCCACAGCTCACTAAGCTTTTTTTTCAACCCCAGTACAGATTGTAACTTGAGAGCTGATTTTGTTCTTTCTGCAAGGAAAAATACTACATCATTTTCAGGCTTCTGAATTTCTCTGGAAGTGTTTTATTTGCTTATGACGTGTTCTTGAGTTCCAAATAGTAGTTGCTAATTAACTTTTAAGTGTTTATAAGGGGTGTTTAGGCAAGGGATTTGAGAAGAGATTTGAAAATGGATTTTATCTGAGTAAAAAAAAATGCAGAGCAATCTTCATCTGTTACAACAGAACATTTCAGAGTTATTGTTAGCATTTGCAGGTTTTCTTAAAAGATATGCTAAAATTCAGTCAGCTGCATGTTATGTGCTGCAGATTTTTGGAAGTTGCATGCTATGGTCACCATCAGGATTTAGTGCAAAGTTAGAATTGTGGTTTGGATTCTTGAAGCAGCTGAAGAGTAAGTAAAAATTTGAATGTCAGTCACAAGATGTTTCCAGAGGAAACACCTGCATAGTTGTTTCAGAACTCTGTGCAGGACCCTTGCAGAGCAGTTTCTCAAGTAAGTGGTCTGAAACTGTTGTCAGTTGACCTTGGGTGATAAAACTTGAGGAAATGCTAATGTCTTAAAGCCATCTACAGTGTGAGGCTACCCCTTCAATAGCTTGAAGATAGGTAATTATCTAAATTCACCTCCCTAATAGCATGGAGGGTAACTGGCAGTGTGCCAAGTTGGTTAGCATGGCACTAATTAAATGCTGTTGAAGGTGCTGATGGCAGAAAAGGGAAGTTGGCAGGGCACTCTGCATCCATTGGGTTCAACCCCTGCTCCAGCAGGTATACCCAGAGCAAGCTGCCCAGGCCCATGTCTGGGCATGACTTCTGAATGTCTCCAAGGAGGAGACCCCAGAACCTCCGTGCATCCTGTGCCACTGCTCCCTCACCTGCACGGTGACAAAGGATGTATATTATGTACATTGATGAGATCACTCCTGAGCCTTCTCCAGGCCGAACAGTCCCAGCTCTCAGCATTTCCCCATAGGAAATGTGCTCTAGTTCCTTTTCCATCTCAATGACCCTTTGCTAGATGCTCTCCGGTATGTCCATCTCTTGTACTGGGAATGTCTTTCTTGTACTAGCCTTTAGAAATAAGATTAAGTTTCTGACTTGACTTGGTATATAGGTATTCTTGTTGTCTGCACTCTTCAGCTGCTCTGCAAGCAGGACTGGCTTTTAGACATCCAATTTCAGGGTGCTGTCAGGGGATGAGGGAAGTATTTATTCCGAAAGCAAAGAGTCTTCACACATCCATTTAAGCAATGCCCTTGATAGAGAGGATTTAGTAGTACTTCAGCAGCAAAAGGATTTTTTTCTTTCTCTTGTGGTTGCTATCTATAGGTTTATTGACAATCCCATGACTAACAGTTGCCGTGATTGAGCTGTGTGTCACTTGAGCAATAAGCAGCATCTCAGCTGATTGATTGCTGTTATTCTTCTGCTAGCTCATAGGACTTGTGGTTAGGAAAGGAGTATCATCTCTTTATGCTGGCTTAATTTGCAAGCCAAGATACTTTCAGTGTATTTAATAAAAATGTTTTTCTGAGTAATTGGATATGACTTCTGCAGTCTGGTGTAAATCCTGTGAAGCTGTGAGGAAGGAGGAAGTGCTTTGGGTGCACTTACGTGACAAAAGTTGCCATAGAAAGCTTCAGTACTGAGGAGCTGTGGTGCTTCAGGCTTCCTGATGATGGCTGCAGAGAGTTCCTTCGTTAAAGGAAAAAACTCCTTTTCCATCAGCATTTCACTGAGATTCACTAGGGGTGAGTACTGCAGCAAAGAGGTGATGAGCTGTCATTTATTTATTGTTCCAGCTTACAAATTGAACCATTCTGCTGATGCATGCAAGCCTTACCCAGGTGTCACCCCAGGCAGGGCTGCAGAGCGCTCTCCCTTCTTGCCACAGTGGTTTTGCCTCTTGCCTAAGATACGTAGAAGCTAGCAAACCCTTACAGTGAATTTTGGATTAAGAAAAATGCTTTGTTCAGAAAACATGTAGAGCTACTGAAAAGTGAACTCTATGACTGACACCAAACCTGTACAGTATGTAGAAATTCTGAAATCCAAGATGAAATCATTGGAAAAATAACAGCCATTGGGAGTAATGCTAGGTCTGTGCCTGTGTGCCCAACCTGTGTCCCACACGGTGATTTCTTATGATATATCACTGTATTGGAGTCTGTGGATGTTAATGGATGCTAATGTCTAAAGAAACAAGTTTATATGAGTCGTTAATGTTACACTGAAGTGAAAGGGGCTGCTGAAACCTGCTGCAAGCCTTAATGCTACCCTGAATGGCTTTTACTGTAATAACTCTTCGTCAAGTTTTCCTTGCTAACTTACAGAGGGGCAAGCTGCAGATAACCACAGCACAGTGAGGCAAGAAGTATGTTGTCTCGCTGTCCTTAGCAGCATGAGCCCAGTCCTTGTGGGGAGGAAGATCAGGGAGGAGAAGGAGCAGAGGTTGCTGCAGATTAGAGCTGAGGGAACAGCAGAATGACTAAGAGGGGACATGAAGAGCAACAGCAATTCAGTTCCTGCAGTTCCCACTCGTGATTGAAATCCTGGTTGCAGTGTTCCTTTTTCATATTCTACGGTACGCAGTATCCCCAGAACATAGCACCATTGTATAATCAGTTAATATACAGATGTTACAATTATGAAATATACCAGAGAGTTTGGCTTAGCAGGCTATTATACAAGAAGAGAATAGATAGAGTGCTTACTCGTGTCATGGGCTCACTGCAAAACTCCAAAGGAGGGATCTCCAGAAGAGATCCTTCCCTCCTGGTAGCTAGCTCTTAAATGGGTCTAGGAGAGGTGGAGCCAGGCTCCATCCCTTCCAGCAGCACAGGTGAATTGCCTTCACCTCTGCTCCTGTGGCTGACTCATTTCTCACCTCAGGTGATCAATCAGAGGTTCAGGCTGTGATTCAGCAGTACCCATACAACCATACCAGACACTATGAAGAAAATCTACTCTGTCCCAGCTGAAACCAGGCCAGCAGACAAAGCTGGGGAAGTAGCAGGGCGCGGGGGCTGCTGTCTCTCATCTAGGCCATCAGTAGTGGTGTTTATCAGGGATCCACATCTGTAACTGCTCCAATGCCAAACGCAGCACATGGCCTTGAGGCAGGCAGATCATTCTTCTGCCTAAGATGCTTTGCAAGTGCTCTCCAAGCTGCTTGTCTCCATGTAAAGCTCTGGTGCATCCTATGGCACATAGCTAGTTCCTGAACTGCGTGCCTGCAGGGTGTCACTTCTGAGTAATGGCTGATGGTTTGGTGATTACAGCATCGATGTCAATGCAAATAGGGTGCCATAAGCCAAAACTGGAGCAGATGTCTCACAGCATGTATTGATTATATGATATCTCAAAGCTCCAGATGCATTTCAAGGAGCAAAGCTGGTGGTTCTGCCACCATGTTCCATTGAAGGAGGTGGTCCCAGGAAAGAACAACATGGTGACAATGTGCTATCTGTGGGTATTACGGAGGTTGAAGTGTTTTTGGAGCAGTGTGTGTGTCTATACAGGGAAGGATGATCTCAGGGGTGAACAAGGGCTTTGGGATCTGGACCTGCATGCTGTGTTCCTGCACCTGTGGTCTGTCCCAGAAGCAGCTGAGCCTGGGGGGGGAGGGGGAGAGACTGTACTGACAGCACATAGAGGCTGAAACACGGCAGACAGCATTGTGATCCTCAACCTTCCATCAGTGACGGCCCTTTAAGGATGAGCACAAACACTGCCCAGCACAGACCCAGCAGCCACGTGAGTGTCATGGGTGGGCAGAGCTGGGCTAGCACAAAACCCAAAGAGGGCAGATGGAGGCAGGCTGAGCTCGCTGGCTCCTGCTGCTCTGCTCCCTCGCCCTTGGGTGGATGAAGACCTGCCTCCAGGTAGAAGATTTGGGGGTATGTGTGAGAGATGTTCAGCAGCCAAGTGTCCATCTCGCTCCGATTGCTGCCTGGGCTGCTGCAATGCTGAGTGCAATAACCTTCCTGGCTGGCTCTTGCACGGAGGCACTTATGCTTATATTATGACTTTCTGCCTGGTGAGGTCTCTGTGCCTCCTGTTTGCCTGATTTCAGGCTCTCTTTGCTTTTTTTTTTTTTTTAATTCATTTCTTAGTCTGGGATGTGCTCTGTTCTTAATGCATCAGGAAGCCATATGGAATGAAGAAGCTTCATTGTCTGTGCATCAGGGAGGGAATTATTGACTGAGTGCTGAGCAGCCACGTTATTGATTCTGCCCGTAGCCCAGCCTGTGTGCTGCTCGGGCTGACTGTGTCCTTCTGGCTCGCTGCGTTTAATCGGATTCTCTGAGCCATTGAGCAGAGGGGGAGAGTTGGAACCAAACCCATCTATCATGTTCACTTCCAAATCCAGCTCCGTGTCCCCTTCTCCATCCATGGAGCAGGCAGATTCGGATGCTCTGGACATCAGCACCAAAGTGCAGCTGTACGGAGTGCTGTGGAAGAGACCCTTCGGGAGGCAGTCGGCAAAGTGGTCCAGGAGGTGAGCTGCGGTTGCTGCAGTGGGATGCGGGGCTGGGGCGTCAGCTAAGCTCTCAGGCTCTTGTTAAATGCCACAGATTTGAGGGGTGAAGCTTCAGGCAGAGCCTCCCTGCTGTCCTGAGCCTGCTTCACACAAGTGTGCTTTCCTCTTTGCATGCCCGTACCCTATCCTACAGGCACTGCAGAATCGGAATAGGGTCTTGTTTCTTCCACGAGCTCCCTGGTGCAAGACGGCTGGGTTGGAATGTCTCTGCACATTGGAATGTACCACATTCCTATGCACAACTCTGGTGGTGGTTCCTGGGAGTTATGCGATCTGATGGACTAATCCTCCCAGCATTCTTGGGATGCAGGACAGTGTCACTCCTGATGGATGTCATTGGCAAGCTGTTCAGTTTCAAGACCTGCAGCTGTAAAGCTCTATGTATTCCTCCTCCTACTGCCAGAGATTTTCTAACCCAAGATCTGTTGTCACAGTCTTTAAAAGAAGGATAACAGTCCTTACCTTGCTTCTGTAGTTTGATAACTCAGATGAAAATGTGCCAGAAAATCAAAGTATTGTTTTCCTTTTCCCCTGTCTTTCCCCTGGGAAGAGGCCCAGATTAATTGTTAACAAAAGCCCACAGGAAACCAAGCCGTCTCTGGGGCTGGAAAGTGACATTGCTCTTGTGGAACTTCAATCTAAACCTACCAAGATGGCTTGGCCCAATAGGTAGTTAAACCTAGCGGGGGAAGTGGTGTGCTTGTGGCCATCTGTGTGACGTGTGCAGGTTTTATGCTGTGCTTGCTCTCCTGAAAGAGATGGCCTGTTTTTTCACTAGAGAGAGGGCTTGTGCTGGTGTTCCCTGCTCAGCAAGCATTGCTACTGAAATGAATGATGTCTGGAAACTAATGTGGCTGTTGGTGAAAACAAGTCGACAAAATAACATAGGGGAAGGTAATTTACTATGAAGAACACGTTCTTAAAAGGCTTTCTTCTTCCTAATCAAAATTTCTTAAAGGCAAATGGCCTGGTGCTCTGTCATTATTTATTTAGTGCTTTTCTATTCCTACAAGTCCCCCATCCTAAGCAAGCTGTAAATATTTCAGTAACAGCGAGTGGGAGGAGATGGGAGGCAGTGCAGGGCACTGTGTGGTAGGGTTGCTGTGAGCACAGTAGCTGGTCCTGGGAGCAGTGGGGCATTTGGGAAATGGGAGTTTTCTCTGAGGTGCTTGTAGGACTTGGAATGAGGGCTTTCTAGAGCCAAAGGGCTGTGGAGCAGGAGAGCTGATGATGGGAGTGAGAGCTGGTCCCAGGGTTGGGCTGAGCCTGGCAGTGGGACATAAGGAGGCATTGGCATAGGGCAGATGGGAGTGATGTGGTAGTGCCATGTTGTGACCCCTTGTGTCATGTTCTTGCGGGACAGAGAGATCTGGGGCTGTCCCAGGGCATCAAGTGCCTCTACAGCTGGCTTCTGCTCTATAACACCAATAGGGCACCAGCCAAAAGTGCCTTGTGCTTGATAGAGATACCTATCTCTTAGATAGAGACTGCACAGATAACGGATTGGGGAAAAAGTCCAGACAGAGCATCCAGAGCTTTGGTTGATGATTTAGCAATTGAAATGCCAGACCTGGATCAGAATTGTTGCAATTGCAATTGTGCAATGACTTGCCACGTGTGCTCCTGGGCTGGTGCCCTGAAACCTGCTGTGGGGCAAGGGCAGCCAGAGTGCAGCAGTTGTAAGGCAAACACCTCATTTCAAAAACTTGTGCAATGATTAGCTACTTAATCTCATTAGCCCTCTGTGATATAAAGACAGCGTTTTATCCCCAGAGAGCAGGTATCCCTGCTGGCTCGGTATGGATCAGCACGGCTAATCCGGGCAGACCACATCTCTGCTTTCACAGCCGAGTCCCTCTGCTCGTCACTGTTCCTCATCTATTCCGGTTTTATTACACTGTCATTCTAATGGTTTCTCAGAGCAGGATCTAACAACAGAGGACAGGTGACCCAAAGGGCTGCCTAGTGACTCTTGCACTCCTTGTACTGCACAGAGTGAGTGCTGCCTCCTCTTTTCCCTCTGCTGCTGCTCTCCAGGCGCTTAGTATACTGCTCAGTTTCCTAACTTCTTTATTCTTCCACCAGCTAACCTGATGTCCAGTGTTCTTTCTTATTTATTTGCCTGTGGGTTTTTCTGTTTACTATATTTTTTTAAGATCCTGTTTTTATACTTTTTCATTCCAAATACCCACAGATTCTCACCACACTCGTGAGGTCAGGGGTGTGAAAGTTCACTCATCTGTCAGAGGCATGTCAATCTGGAGAGATCAGTGTTTGTGGTCTTATTTTGTTTTTCCACTAGAGCATAATCCGTTATGTGGGGATTATCAGGAACACTGAGTGTCCCAAAAGTGTGTAACAAGTGAAGGTTATAACAGAGGTTAAAGCAGGCTAGATTAGAAATGGTGTGTAGTTCAGTATCAGCATCTTTAGCTGCCTATCAAATGTTTCCTTCAAATCTGTTGACTGTGTCCAACAGATGTGCCCAGTGCCAAATCTGCTAAATGCCTTATGTCAGTGTCTCAGAGTTGTGTGCACAGCTCAGCCCCACACCTCTTCTGGGATGCTTCTCCTCATTCCCACCTGCTATCACGAGGAAACAGCCTTGCTCCCCTACCTGCGATGCTGGTGAGAGGTGTTTAGGATGGTGCTTCCCAGAACAATTGTGCCCCATGGACAGTCCATCTCCTTGCCACCTCTTACAGTAATACAGAGTCTGGGTTGGTGCTGCAGGCTGCGCTCCCCTCTCTCAGCTCCTCTGCAGTCTCCGGCTGACTGAATACACCCAGCGCGGAAGAGTGACTTGAATCTTGGGTCATGCTGTTCCATCCAATGAAATTTTGCAAGGCTGTGATCAGGACACGAGGGGGAGCTGGTCAATGTGTGAGAAAGCAGCGTCCTGCTGACACAGCAAGTGGGCATCTCCACACTGCCGGTGGCAACACAGCAGGTACAGATGAACGGGCAAGGAAAAGAGAAATTGGGGCTCTTTGTACGCTCTGAACATTTCTGTGTGTAAATGTGCAGATGTTCACGGGCTGTCGCGCTTTCAAGCAGGCTCATGGTAGGTCCAGAGCCTGAGCTCACTGCAGATCTTTCTATAGAGCAGTGCAAAACATTTTCTTTGTTGTTAACTTCTTTAACTAGTCCCTGTCTTTTCAGCTGCCCTTCAGCTTTGTTGAGTGCTGCAGGTATTCAGATTGAATTTAAGGGAAGTCAAATATCTCTCCTGTACCACTACCTGCAGGGTAAATGCAACATCAATTTTCTTCAAGCAGAGGGACTCTCCTAGAGGAATTTCAAACATCCAAATAAGTTAGAAGTGGTTTTCCTTTAATTACAACGTTGAGGATATGCTCCAGTAAATTACAGGCTTGCTTTACAGGAGCTGATGCTCATGGCTACCATGCAGCATTCATCCGAGCATACCTAAGGCTAACTGTGCAGAACATGGCACATTTTAATGTGACACATATAAAAAAAAAAAAAAAAAAATTCCTTCTATTTATGAAGGCCAGTGGCAGAAGATTTTGCCAACAGCTCCGCTTAAAAATATCAGTGCAATTCATTTCAGCTCCTGAGTGCTCTCATGACAAATGTTTTGCCTTGAGAGTTGCTCGAGGATGCTACCTCGTGGCTCTCCCTGCCATATGACTCAGTGTTACAGAGAGAATGCTTCCTTTCTGGCTTATGCTGGGAAGAGGCAATGAGGGGACAGAGGGTGGCAGGAAGCTGATGGCAAAAATAAGCTAGTAATTGCTTTTAGCCTGTGTGAGAGAGCCACTAAAAAAGAGTGGTGGTTCTCTTCCAATAGGTTGAGTCCACTACACGAACTAGACAGAATAGGACAGGTCAAGATGTCAAAACACTTTGGCTGGGATCCTTTCTTGGGTGCAGACCTCTGTCCCATTTATCTGCCAGTAAATTCTTCTATGGTTTGTCTTCATGCTGCATGCTAGAACTTAGAGCTCACTGTGAAGCACTACCACCTTTGGACAGAAGTGAGGCACCTCAGCTGAAGTTTAGATGGGAATGGTCAACTCTTCACCTTTCAGGTGGACGTCATTTTGTGCTGTGAATCAAGAACTCTGTTCTAGTAGAATTTATTTATTTTCTGTCCTAAAGGTTCTTCATCATTAAGGAGAGTTTCCTGCTCTACTATGCTGAGAGTGAGAAGAAGAGCTTTGAGAGCAATAAATACTTCAATATCCACCCTAAGGTGAGCAGTGTTTGTGTGGCAGAGGAAGTTATTCTGTTCCTAAGTGTGTGTTGTTTTTTGTTTTTTTGTTTTTTTTTTTTTATAAGATTGCAAGTGAAGAAGACATAAGGCCAGGGAGGCCTCAAAAAAAAGAAAGTGAGAATTGTCAGTTTCTTTCAGGCTTCTTACTGGCTCATCAGATGCATGGCCTTAATTCTTCCCTTAATAGTAGATGCGTCCCCTGGTTTGCATGATTTCCTCATCAACTGATTTTGTGGCTGTGAGAATACTGTTGGCAAAGGCAACCAGCTTTGCTGGTTGTTCCTAATCTGTACTAACATGTGCAAATGCTGTTAAGCTCCTCTCAAGAGATCACCTACTCATTGATAAAACAGATTCCATACCTGAGTTCTAGCCCTCAACCTTTTCTCCAAGCTGGGTGCAGGGGAGCAGTCTTTACCCCCTTTCAAACACCACTTGGAGGTCTCCTGGTGGTGGTAATGGGAATCCATCTGCTTTTCAGGAGCTGTGTCTATTGCCTCTCTGGAATATACAAGGCAGGTCAGGGTCCCACAAGCGGCCAAGGATGGCAGCTCAGTTCCTGATTAGTTGTAAGCACTGAACTTGAATTTGATGACTCATTGGAGTGCTCTGGTTCATCCCCAGGGTGTCATACCCCTGGGGGGATGCATTGTGGAACCCAAAGAAGAGCCCAATATGCCTTATGCCATAAAGATCTCTCATGAAGACTTCCATGTAAGTAGACTTCTTTTTTATGTTCTCTAGGTAAAAACAAAAGCAGTTATTGTGGATGAGTGGAGCTTGATTTTTCCACCCTGTCAATGTATGCTTACCCTCTCTGGGCAAACCATCCTGTGAGAGAGGGTGGCTTCACATCTCAAGTCCCCTCAGATCTTTGCTACTGCTCCTGTTTTGGCAACAAACAAGGAAGCTTCCTCTTTTGGCAGCAGCTCTTGGTATACTAGCAAATCAGTAGATGGAGATTTGGGAGCCCGAGAGCTCATTTCCCCGTATTCCCCTTCCCTGCCACTTTATTCTTACCATGACTGCTTGCTGTGTGTATCTCCTTCCAAGCAAGAATGATGTATTTGGTCCCATATGATGCCTCCCATGGAGGTGAATGTCTCCTCCTGCCATAGCAGTGCCCTGTCTATGCCCTGGGCACACAGGCATGGAAGGCACCAGCCTACTAATCTGTTCTTTTTGTTGTTGTTTGTTTTATTTTCCCCCTCCCTTGTTCTAGGGTAACATCGTTCTAGCGGCTGAATCAGAGTTTGAGCAGGCTCAGTGGCTGGAGATGTTGCAGGAGTCTGGAAAAGTGTAAGCTGCTTTCTGTTCCCTCTTTTATTGGATCTGCTCTATAGATATTTGTGGCTGCCATGGTCTAAGAGCCAACTCAAGCTCAGGCACTTGTACCAGTGGCTCGGTATGTGTGAAATCCTTCACCACGCCATTTCCTCCTTGCTTCCAGTAGTCTTCTAAGCAGAGATCCCTTTCCTGTTGCTATTCCTCTAGGCCACTGGCCAAAGTATACCCTTGACCCTCACACCACCTATTTAGACAGCTCTGCCTCCAACTGGCCTGAATCCCTAAGGGGCCATACATTGTGTCCCATCTACTCATCCCCCGTTGCACATTCTTATTGAGCTGTTAGGTAGAGGGAACTAGGGCAGTACATGTGCCATATGGACCATGAAGTACAAAGCATCTCTAGAAACTGGTTGTGGATGTGCACAGATGAGGTAAAATGCAGGCAAAGCTGGATAGATGTTTCTAGTGCTGCAAAAGGATTGGAATAGAGGATGATTGTACTAGATAGTAAGTAGAGTTGCTACATATATGATACAATATTGAGGGCCTTTTTTCTTTTTTTTCTTTTTTTTCTTTTTGTAAGTATATTAAGAAGGCACTTTCTACTTGTTCCAAGAGCCTTTCTGGCTCTGTGCTTTACAGTACTTCAAGTAACATGTCTTTTTCTAAGGAAAATTCACATGGAAAGAAATACAAAATAACCAAGTATTTGCACCCCCTCTCAGCTGTAGTCAGTGTGTGTACGGCATGCAGGCAACTTCACGTTATAGACAGGAATACATCTTGTGAGGCTGGGGAGGGAGCACTGAAAACATGAATCTAATAAAGAGAGCCATTATAGGCTGCAGCCATTTTGAAACTCTCCATGTAATTATATGATAAACTCTTCGTCCCTTGTTTCAGTTGTTGGTGGCTTCTCTGGGCCCAGATTCATCCTACATCAGAGCACATCAGTGGAAAAACACATTCACACCCATGTGCTCTCACTCAGGATGGAGAGGTCTACCTGTGGGCACAACATCACCTTTTAAATTAGCATTCTAATTTCCTCTGTGTGTTGGAAATATCCAAAATGCTCATTAGTTGGAAAGAAACCCAGCTGTCTGCAAGGAGCTCAGAGCTTGGGCTGCTGGAGGTGTGAGGTGCCTGGGGTGATGTGTGTTTAATATATTTGTCTCACTTCTGTCAGAGACAAAGCACAGGTTGCGCTGAAAATGTTTTATAAGAGATTCAAATGGCTCACAAAGGGGCCTGGTGCAGGAAGGCTTACAGGCATCTAATTCGTAAGCTCCCTTGTGATTTATCTAAGAAGACAAAACTTCTGGGCAGCAATTGCTTTTTCTGTGCGTGCACCTATAAAAATAGATTGAGATTAATTTTACATGTGCATTTAATGTATTTTATCTGTGTAGCTAATGTTATCTAATGGAAAATCTATAGAAGTGAGCAGTGAACTCAATTTCTAGTTCTGTTTCTGATTTGTATGTCTGTATCCTTGGTTATTTAGTCTCTGTGTTGAAGCCTACTCTGTCCATCAACTCAGTCACTAATGGGCATCTGCTCCAGAGGCTTTTTTTGCAGCTTAGTTTCATAATGTTTTCAAGAGACCTTGAGATCCTCTGGTCAATGGTACTACAATAATGCAAGCTATTCTTTGAAAATGCCTGCTTCCTTTAACTTTCCATACCTGCCAGCTTCTCATCTGGCTTTTATCTCTGATCCCTCAATGCTTTTACAGGGAGAGGCACTTATCTCAGAGTAGGGCCAGACAGCTAATTCTAGTGGCTTACCAATTTAGTGGAGAGATTGACTGGCTGCAGGGTGGGTGGATGACGGATACCAGAAAGGCTGAAGATAAAAAACTGTGGGAAGGGGCCAATAAATAGTTAACGTTTGAAGTGGAAAATTGGCTAAAATAGTAATTGGACAATGGAAGACAATCTCGCCAGCAAATTGGATGTTAGCTGAGTTAAAAGCTAAAATTTGGTTCTGAAGTCTGTCAGGATCCATTTAATGTGTTCCAAGTACAGCACATTGCAGCTGGAGCACTTAAAGACTAAGCTTGGTACAGCAATCTCCGAAACACTGGAGGAATGTTTGAATAGCTGTGCTGTGCTGAAGCGCTGCTCCTGTAAACTTTCTGTTATTTAGTGTCAGAAAAATTTCTAAGTCACTTGTGGAGAAGAATTTAGAGAATCACCATTCCCACTAAGAGTGTGCTTGAATTCCTTGGTGGATGGCTGGGCTGAGTCCCTCTGCCCCTCTTTGTGGGACCCTTAGATCTCTTTTATTGTCTGCTTTCTGTTTGCTCTCCCTAGAACCTGGAAGAACGCCCAGCTGGGAGAAGCCATGATCGAGAGCCTGGAAGCCCAAGGACTGCAGCTGGCCAAGGAAAAACAAGAGTATGTAGGTAGGAAACTCTTACTTCTAAAAGCTGTAAAACCCAAAATAGTCACTTGGCCTTTCTGGAATTGTCAACTCAGTCAAGTGAAGCAGCTATCGAGTTTTACTGATGACTTTTACAAGATGAAGCTTTTGAATAGCCAGCAGCTAAAGTTCTGGTTCTGAAGGGAATTAAAAAGTTAAGGTAAGATCCAGATATCAGAGTCCACACATGAAAGGAAGAGTGTGCCGTGGCCAGAACTCTGCAGTCCTACAGCTCCTGCTGACTGCCCTGTGCAACTGTTGGGATGTGCTGGTCTCACCTGCTCACCAGGCTACCAGCCAATACCTCTGTGTCCTGAATTAAGTAGGGCTGGTGTTTCTGAGCTTGATAAGAGCTTTTTATATATGGTAGTTTTGGGTTTTCTTTTCCCCTTAGCCTATGTCTGCTTGGTCTTTGTCTGCATTTTCCCCACGTTGTTCATGCTCAAAGTGGGAGCATTTACAGGGCCTTGTTTGTGGTGTCTTATAGCTAATTTCTATTACTGTCTCTGTGGGCAGTCGTGAGAGCAGTTTCTCCAAGTGAACATGGAATAATTTAGGAAGATACTTCTGGAGGTTAAATATTGCAGTCTCTCAGAAACCAGCCTCTGGACAGCAGTACCCTGGCTGCTCTGGCTGCCCTAGGAGGTGAAACCGTCACTCTCCACACTTGCTATAGCAAGAGCCAAGGGAGAGCAGCCTCTTCAACCCAGATGCTTAATAAGCTAGGCAAAGCATTCCACAGGGTGGGTGTAACACCCCGTCTAGGCTGTGGGCTGATGGTCACATCACCCATCCTATGCCAAGTCCAGTGCTTCGCCCAGGCAGCCTGCAGTAGGTGAGTTAGTGACACACTTAGTGTTTCAGGTTAGTGACACATCAAACTGTCTCCTGCTGTCTACTGTTAACCATCAGGCTACTGACCAAGGGTGATTTCCATAGATCATCTCACATATAACAGTGATCATAATTTACATATCAAGACATGTTGTCATGTGGGAGCTGATGGATAGATAGCTCATGTGTGAGGCAGGCAGGGAGAAGTGGCTCCATGCCTTACACAGAGATAACAGGGAGCACTGAGAGGAGAACCTAGAGGGATAGGTAGAAAGTTAGAAACAGCAAAGTTTTATCAAATTGTTTTGCAAATACCAGAGCTGAATAAAGAGCTTAAGGCCAAAGTATGGTAAAAGACAAGATGATACAGCAGCAATTTAAAACACATCCTGTGCAAAGCAAGATATTTGAAGTGTAAAATACATACTTCACTGGTTTATTTGGTCTGTGATGACAAGATTATCCTTAGCTGGTGATTTTTCACAGTTGGTTACTTTTCTTTGAAGGCAGCTATACATTTATTCCTATTTAAGTGTTGAGTTTTCTGCCTCATTAGCCTCATCTTCAGTTGTCTATGTCCATCCTGTAGCTAAGTTTTGAGGTCAGGCACTGCTGCTGGCAGCATGTCAATGCTCTTTGAAGAACACAGATGTTGTCCTTCATCCCTGCCCTGGGGAATTCCAAGTCCCCTTGGGGTTCCCTTCCATATACCCTTATCCACTTGGGATCCAGGTTTCCCTTTCAGGCACGGTTGTTGCTGAAGCCCCTCAAGCCTTGGGCTTGGCCTCACTAAGGAGAGTTAAAAGAGTAGGTGTGAGAGCTTCTGTGTATTTGTAATTCAGCTGTGTGGACTCCTAGCAAGCAGAAGGAGGATGAAAGTGGGCAGAAAGGCAGCAGTGGCTGCCAGCAGGGCTTTCGCAGCATAAAGGTTAGTGCTGGCATGAACAGCACTGCTGTGGGAAGGAGGCAGAGGTCTGTGTGTCTCCCAGAAGTTGTAATCAGTAGTGATGCTCTCTGATACCAAGGAAACTGGTAGCAAGGTAAACCATTATATGCTTTATGAAGGATCCTATAGACCTTTGCCTTTCTAGGTAAAGTTATTCTACTGATTTTCCTAAAGATCTAGAGCATCTAGGCAGGTTTAGTAAACTGAAATCTTTGATTGCATGGGCAGTGGTTTTCCCCATACATTCGGATATTGTAGTATGTTTTAGAGCCCTCTCTTGACTCCCAGCTTGAGGGAAGCTGGGAGACCTTCTCCCACTTGAACCTGGAGGGGTTAGTGAAGAGGGTGCTGAGTGGGTAAAGATGGGGCACTGGAATGTATGAGAACAGCCTACTGCTACACTGTGAGCAACCCTGTGTGCCCGCTTAGCCCTTCCATGCCTTAGTTTCCTCATGTGTGAAGCAAAAAGGAGGTTGTTTTCTTAACTCAGCTAGAGAGTGGCAAAGGTTAGTTCATTAATGTTGTTCATTAAGGTTTTAAAAACCTTGGGAGGAACCTTTGGAAGGAGTACACAGCAATAAGATTGTTTAGTTTATTAAGTTATTTGGCAGGAGGGAAATTATAGAGCATCCTATTAGTGTAATCTCAGCCTTTGGAGTCTCTCAGAAAGATATGCACAGAGCAATAGGTAATGCATTTGCAAGTTCCCAACAGTCAGTACTTCTCACACATAAACATCCCCAGGACAGAAATTGCATCTGTCTGCATTTGGCCTTTGTGTGTGCATATGTTTGCAGATAAGCTGATGGAAGAAACAGAAGAATTGTGTCTGCAGAGGGAGCAGAAAGAGGTGGGTGTTCCTCACAAGCCAATTCCATTCAGCTCCCCTGGGGCAGGGCTGGGAGGCTGGAAATAGTGCGGAGTGCTCTCCTGCCCCTTCTCTTCGTGCAGGAACTGGAGCGTCTGAACCAGGTGCTGGAAGCAGAGAAGCAGCGGTTTGAAGAGGTGGTACGGGAGCTGCGGCTGGAGCAGGAGCAGATCAGGAGGTGAGGACATGAGCTGGGCAGGGCGGGAGAAGGACACCAACTCCTCACTTGCTGGGAGTGCTGGTGAGGTCGGGGATCAAAGCAATGGATAAAATTCACTGATTTTGCCTATTTACAGAGGAGATAAATGCAGTATTGACCAAAACAGGAATGGCTGATGTCCATTACTTGCATTTGATGCTGTTGATTGACCAATAGAACACATCCTAGTTTCATTTGCTATTTAAGACTCCAGCAACCTCATTTTCAAGAAACTGAGACATAAACAAACCCTGGTTCAATTGAGGCTGTATAGCAACAGGCAGATATCAGAGGATTTCAATGGCAAAACCAGTTCTATTTGCACCAGCCCCATGGACTCCAGACATCTCAGCCAGATTTTGCACACACAGATGAATGGGTGGAAGTTGAAGTTGCCTCACTAAGAATAATTTTGTCTTTTTGAGAGTAACGCTACGCAGAATATCAGCAATAAATGCGTAAGAAAGAGCTAAGGGTTTTATTCTGAGTGTTGAAATGGCATTTTTGCTGTTGTTCTCTTCATTTTTCTTTTCTTTTTCTCCCTAAACAACATCTCAGAAAAGCTGGAGTGGTTTTTATAAGCCTTTTTTGTTATCATAGATATACGCCTGTTTACTCATGCCTGCTGTCTGTGCTCTGCGAGCTGTAATCATGGTCCTGTGCTCACAAGCAAAGCCCGTAGGGGATGGTTTTTGCTCCACCGGGAGGCACAGCTCATTTTCTGTATGCCTGTAGTTTGTCCAAGGTGTGATGCTTTCTGGCACATTCCTGCCTGGAATTCCTGCTTCTTGAGGATTGCCTGCACCAACCATCAGTAGCGGGTCCTGCAATGAAGTCCACAATCTGTGCAGTCTGAATGTGGTTTGTGGGGCTAGCATTCCCCTGCCATAGCTATTGCCATTTTTCCTTCTTTAGGGAGCTAGAGCTCACAGCCCGCTCCCTTAATGGAGTGGAGGAAGAAAAGAAAGAGTTGCGAAGCCTGACTCAGTCCTTACAGAAAAACCTGGAGGTGAGTGACCACTTGTCCCTTCTGAATGGCAGCAGTCTGTGATGAGTTACCAGGACTGAACGCACTGCTGTCCTGTAGCATGCACCTAACCTGTTAGTGTCGGAGTCAACCCTGTGCAGATGAACTGATTCTTTCAGTAGCTGATATGAAGGCCAAAATCCTCTTCAGAAAAGGATTAGAAGTGGCAAGGAACCCAGCAAACCAAACAGCTATTTGATTTTTGAACAGTAGCTCCATAAGCCCTGGTAGAAATTAGAGTAGCGGAGAGGTATCTTTGTTCGCAGGTTGAAGCATTGTTCTCAGAGAATTGTATATCATACAACAATTTAGGAAATGGAGTGCTGATGTGTTAAACTCTTTTATTGACTTGGTGTTGCTCTGGTGGAGAGGTAAAAAATGACTTCTCTAAATGCATATATTTTTTGTGAAATTTCAGCCCAACTAGCTTGCTGAAGGCAATTAACCTTAATCCTACAAGCTTGTCCAAAGATCTATTGCTGATGTTCAAAATCCGGACAGGATTTCAGGATGTTCCTCCTGAAATCTTCTCCTAACCACAGTTATGGGTAGGAAAAAACGATCTGAAAGGTTAGGGAAGGAGCTTTTTGTACTTCAGCTATACAACAGACCGAACACTTTGCAGCATGGTACATCCTATTGCCTTGTATTACCTGTTTTTAACCTGAATGAGGAACATGGGTGTAAAGATGGAAGAACTCAATAGCGAGGAGCCAGACAGAAAAAGGAGCAGAAATGTAAGACTTGGTTGATGCTCAAAGCTTCTGTCCTTCTTCAAGGAGCTCTCTATGGAAAAGCAGCAAATGTTGGAGATGTTGGAAACAAATGAAAGCCCACCTTCAACCAGTCCTAGCAAGGAGCAAAGCCCCAGCTGGGGGTTGCACTGCAGCCTGCAGCAGATTGAAGAGAAGATGCAGCAACTCCTGGAGGAGAAACTTCTTGCAGAGAAGAGGTGAAATGGGGACAAAAGCTCTTACAGTGATGACAGGGATGTGGATTGAGATGTCTTCTAGAGGGAAAAGAGGTAGTTTTTTCTCCTCACAGATGGGAGGCAATCAGAAAGGGTGACCCAGAAAGCTAGGGACACCTCAAACTCTCCCATGTTTACCCTAGGGCCTGAAAGAAGGTGAAATCCCTACTTTCAACTTCTGGATGAGGTAGAGAAAAGAGGATGGATCTACCATGATCAAGATTTGTGGTGCCTCATGATGTGGCTGTCCGCTGTCTTTCTTTTAGGTTGCCAACACAAAGCAAAGTTGAGGAACTGCCCACATGGCTTTTTCCAGCCATGCCTGCACTACTGAAGTGAAAATGCAGATAATGCTGCCTTTAGCACCTCTTTGCTCATGGCAGCCTGGTAGTTACACATGCCCCTACTCCATACCTAGGCCCTTCCTTTATGTGAGTCATACTGGGGTGGGATGGTGGGATTTTTTCTCTCTTCCATGCTCCAGGATGAAGGAGAATGAGGAGCGGTCCCAAGCCCTGGAGGCGGAGCGGGAGTTTTACTCTTCCCAGTCACAAGTGCTGCAGAACTCACTCTCAGAGCTGACTGCGGAGAAGCAGCAGACAGAGAGAGACCTCAAGGTACTGACTATGTGCATCGTGCATTGCTATCCCTGGGCCCTGACTTCCTTCACTTTTCTTTCAGATCATCTTCCATCAAAAGAGAGATTTGTTCTTATTCTGTGGTCACAACTCTTTGTTTGCTATGCTTCATATCACAGTTACACACGAGGATGCCACGCTGTATCTGTGTAGCACTATTATTTATTTTCTCATTCTGATGCTGATTAACCTATTCAGTAAAAATTATTTCCGTTTGTTCATGTGAAAGCATCACCTAAAGACGAAGGTGGGGCAATAATACAGGACAGTAGACGCACTCAAGAATAAAGATTACTTCAAATGCTAGTATAGAAATTGTAGAACTGGGCGAGTCTTCCCTCCTTACGTGTGCTCTGTGAATCAATCTGAAGATTTGAAATTCAGAGATATTCAACTTTCTCATGAACATGGGTATTAAATCAGAGGAATGCAGGTGGGGTAGCAGCCCTCTTCCCTTGTCCCAGTAATTAGAGAAATGGCAATCTAGACAAAGGCAATTGGACAAAGTTATGTTGTTTTATTTTAAACTAAGTAAAGTATAAGTTGTTATTGGCTGTTAGACACTCAAAATCCTTCTCCGAATATTTTGTCCAAAAGTATCCCCCATCTCATCTTTTTCCTGCATCTCTAAGAAGTTTTTATCCTTTAACATTCCAGTTGGCCGTACTAAAGCTAAGTTGACCTAAGTTTGTATGACTTATGCTTGTTTACTAAGTTACTACTTCATCCCTTTTTTTCCTAATTTTTACCGTATTTTGTTTCTGAAACTAATTACTGTCCACTCCTTTGTGGGAACTGACTGCCTTTATTTCAAGTCTATTTAGGATGGAAGGGTGTCCTGTTCTAGTTCAGATTCAAATACTTCCATCAGTATGAATTCAGGTGGAGTACTATCTTTGACTTCATACTGTTCATAAGATGAAAAGGTAGCTGTGAAAAGGAAAGTCAGAATAGAGGAGAATTGCTAAAATATCTGGACTTTCAGTTCTGTCTGAAGATACAATAAACAAATTTTGTCTTATTTCTATAGGTTTTCCTTACTGTTAATCTTTCACTGGGTCTCTTGCAAACCTTTTGAGTTGCAGGAGGCTTACTGATACACAAGCTATTTTCAGGAGAATTTGTTCTTTTCGTCTTCCTCAGGCTGAGGTGAAGGTGCGCATGGAACTGGAAAAGAGACTGAGGGAAGCTGAGGAAGCACTGCAGAGCTTGGAGCAAGGCTTAAATTCTTTGGATCGTAACAAGGAAAAGGAGGAGAAGATGAAAGCAGATGTCAGTAATCTGAGAAGTAAGTCTGTTATCCATTTTCTCTACTGATGAGCAAGCCCCAAGAGGAAATATTTCTTCCCATCTTCCCAGACTCAAAAAGTGGTTTCCAAATTAGTAAGGCTGCACCTGGAGTGCCCTCCCAACTCTCTTTGTACCTTAACCTCACCATCCTTTGGAGGAGTCAGAATATGTTGTGCATACGCTTGATGCTTCACCCTCAAAGGAGTGCAGTATTACTCCATACTTCCCTGTGTAGTGAAAGACAAACCTATGGGCAGAGAGAAGTGTAAAGGCTTTCCAAAGGGTCAAACAGGGAAGCTGTGGCATAGCACACATTTCTCAGTGCTCCTAGGTGATTGCTGCAGCTCTCTACCACTAATATTTGCTGTGCTATTAGAAATCCCTGTCTGTTCATGGCACATCTGGATGTGTCCATGACAGTGTTGCCAGCTCCTCCCTTTCTGCAGTTGAAGACTTGACTGGTTCTAGGATTTCTTCAAGGAAAGCATGCCCATCAAGGCTTCAGAGCCCTCTGTGGTGACAGAGTTGAGAAGTTGTATGATAATATCAAGGAGAGTAAGCTGCCTTTCTACAGTTATATGATTAGCAGATGTGGGAAAGACGAAAGAAAAATGGATGATTGCTACTCTTTGTCTAGTTTGAGTATGGCACTAGAAGTTTCTGTCATTCTGAATTTGATGATGTCCTGGTGGTTCACAAAATGTTGTGTGTAAAGATCTAGGGAAGTACTGAACATCATACCCTGACTCACTGAGTGTAGTCCCTTTTGGCTGGTTCACTGCTTGCAGTGTCTTTCCTGTCACTGCTCATAGGGGTGTATTCTCTTCAGAATTCTTCGAAGAGTGCATCCGCAATGCCGAGCTGGAGGCCAAGATGCCCGTGATCATGAAGAACTCTGTGTACATCCACAAAGCTGCCACTCGTCGCATAAAGAGCTGCCGCCTTCACCGCCGGAGAGCCAGTGCTTCATGGAATGACTGTAGGTAGTGGGCAGCTTCTTCCTCTGTGCCCTGTAGGAGCAGATGCATGCAGATGAGGCTGAAAGAGCAGTAAGATCTGCAAGTGTGGTTAATAATACAGAGTTCTTAGCAGTACCATGGAACTATGGGCTAACCTGGGTTTTGCTATCTGAAGAGCAGGCAGCAAATCTGCATAGTTACCTGTCTCTTTGTGTATGTGGAAAAGTATGCAGTAACTGCTGGGATGCCTACTGGTCTCTACAAAAAAATATGCTCAAAGCTGACTTCCTTTGTGATTAAGCATTCACATGCAGCTAGGTTGAAAGGGATACCTGCATAATGTCTTGCCTAGTCCAGTACTCAAAATGGTTGCCTTTGAGGTCAGATCAGTTTTTGCAGCACCATAACATTGGAAAGAGATAAAGCAAGGGACTTGCAAAGAAGAAAAATGCATTTCCATGCTGTCAGCATTTTCCTTCCCTGAAAACAGTAAGGTGAAGCTGTTGGTGCAATGATTAGTTCATCCCTGGCTATGCTTTTGGTCATAATGATTGCATGGCTCAGGGGCTCTCTTGGCTTTCTTTGGTTTGTCCCCTTGACTGAATGTGCTGACGTTTTTGTGCTGCTCTTGTTTCAGTGAAGCAGTCCCAGTCCTTCATCATCTCACATGCAGAAGCTGAAAACATTGAGGAGCTGAAGGAGGCAGCCAAAAGACTGAGCCGGCACCAGCACTTCCGTGAGACACTCTATCAAATCATGAGATCGCACAAAGATTCATCATCAGGGGATGAAAAGTGACTCTTGTTGAGAGGGGACTTCTGATCTCAACTTGCCATTCAGCTCTGCAAACACTAAGCAGTCAGGCATTAGGGTCAGAAGGGAGTTGCATCCTTTGGTGAGGAAGGTGGTGGGAAGTTGTGTGTAGGCAGTTCCCTTAAGTAGTGTCTCTGCTTTAGTTTGGATGCTCCCTGTTGTCTGGCAGACCTTCCCTGCTGATGACTCTGGATCATGTCTCTTTGCTTCAGCTGCTTACATTAAGCCATGTTTTGCCAAGATACTGTGGCTGGTGTTAAAGTGAACCACTGGCCTTAGCTTAGGAAGTGCCTCTTCTTTTCTTTGCTGCCTAGTCTGCCTGCTAAAAACAGGTGCTTCTGAGAAATCCTTCCTCAGCCACCTAGCTGCACTCAGTGTAGCCACCCTCAGCTGACACAGTTTAACCTGTTCCACCTAATGTCCTGTAGGAAACTGCCTCCTCAGTGTAGACCATAACATCAAGTGCAAGGCAATCTTATGCTGCAGCAACATTTTAAGTAGAGAGATAGCAGCGCAAGGTGAAGACAACCTGAGGATTCTCCCCATGGCAGGGGAGATGGAACTACATGATCTTTAAGGTCTCTTCCAACCTAAGCCATTCTATAATTTGCTTCCAAAAGCATAATGTGCAAAGATCTGATAGATAACTCAACAGCACCAATGCAAGTTGGAGGGAAGGCTACGCTGTGCTGACTGTAGGCAGAACATCCTGGGGACACCTTTGCACTTTTTTGCATCAAGACAACTGACTACGTTGCTGTCAGGAGGAGGAGAAAAGATCTGTGCAGAAAATGGTAGGCAGGTTCAGTGTGGAGTAGCCTTGACTCTGATGGTTTTTTCATCACCTCAGGAAAACAAGCTTAAGGATAGGTGGGTGGGGTGAGGAGTGTTCAGCAATGACACCTACTACCATTTTGTAAATTAAATGTTGTCAGCAGCAAGATGTTAGGGCTGAGGAGGTGGGGACATCCACTTCAGTGTGTACTGCAGCAAATAGCCCTTACCCAGCACTTTGTTTTGCTCTCTGCCAGTCCTTTTAATTGCAGCCCAAGCTATCATGGTCTAGCCTGGACCTCCAGCAAGCCAAGGCTGGAATGGGAGATTACAGCTTAATCAGAAGTGGGCTCCTGGCTGGCCTCTGGTCACTCCTTATTGTTCACCATGAGATTGTCACAGTGGAGTATTTACCTTGTAGTTGGTTATCTTGTGTTTTACATGAGAGGAATGGCTTTGTGGTACAAACCTCCCCTTTATAAAAGCAGCTGGCTAATAATTATCCACATCATAGTAACTGTACTGCTTAGTGCTTACAGAGCACGTGATAAGCATGCTCAGTGATTCTTTATCCCTGTGATATAAGTCAGGAAACAAAGATGTAAAACATACAAAGGTGATGATGCTAGAAGCAGAGCTTGCTTAGGGCTTGGGGGTCTTAAGAGCCCCAGTACTCTGGCAGTTAGGTCTGTATCCCTGAGTATTACATGTGCCCTTTTTGTCAAGTGACTGGGGTGGCTGCTTACCTCCATACAGGCTGTGGTACTGGGCATATTCAGGCTTTGTTTCTGGCCACCAAAGTCATTCCCTGCCAATTCCATGCTGCTTCTAGGGTGAATTTAGGGATGAGATAGGGAAGGGACCTTGTCCTGTCATCTGTGGGACTGGCACTGATGTTGGTGGAGGGTGCAGAGTGTGATATGCTGAGAGCTTCTAGAGGGGAGTGTGTGATGAGCACTGAAGGCATGGTCTCTCCATTTCAGCCACTTACTGACCACTATCCTTCTGCCAGATAATGGGATGTTTTAAAAAGCCAGAGGGCTCATCACAGAGGGCTGTCACTTTTACAGTGACAGGTGATGGGACAGGAAGATAAAATTTACATCCCTCCGTAGTATACCTGATCCTTCTGTGCTTTTCCTACTCTAGTTTGCATGCTAGAAGTCCAGAAATTAATTCTGGTTCCCAGAAGGATGAAGAGTTGAGAAACAAAAGCAGAGCTGGTATCCCCTTTGCACTGTCCTATCAACCTCTCAGGCTATTTTCCAGTTGCAATTTTTTTTTTAATCATGTAATACTGGAAGATGCAGTGAAAAGTACAGCCAGAATGTGTATCTGTAATCAAGGCATTAAAAAAAATCACTTGGTGGCTTGTGAATGGAACACTTTGATCTATTACAATCAAATGCCACAATGTCATAATTTACAGAAGTACTGTACTCAGGAGGTAGTCACATCTGATCTTCCTTTACTGCATATTGACAGCAATAAGTAAATAAAAGTTACACTGATACCAGAGTGAATTCCTATGCGTTCTTGTCACACTGTTACTGAAATGAAGTTAAATTGCCTCTGCAAGAATAGAGACAAATTGTTGTGACATGCTCGTTTACTGCCAGGGTACTTGCTGTGCTTCACTGGATTGCTGTACGAGCTGAGCATCATCTCTTGAAGGACAGTGTGCAAAATGCTTTCACCCTTGCCACCCACTTCCACTTTATTTACTAGGTTGACCCTCTGCACTTTAAAATGGAAAGAATGCTAAATCCAGGATATATCAAATCTAAATCAGAAATCTCATGCAGCTTGCTGGCTTCAGGTAAGCAGGTGGAACCAAGTCATGCCCTCAGCCACCTGTGGCAAAGTGCTTTCTCTCAGCTGTTCCTTGCTGTAGACAATAGCCCTGTTAGCCCTGACCCCATAAGCTCCCTGGGAGAGTCTTTTCACCTAGGAACCTCTCTTCCCTCTGAAGACTTTCCCAGTTGACTCTTTTAGAGCTTTGTTAAAACAGTGTTAATGTGTGGGCGCTGCCAGCTGTAGTGTCTGTGTCTTACCTACTTGTACACAACAAGAGCTGTGGCTCCTACTCAGGCTGTGCTAAGGGTTAATGTAGTCCTCCATGTGAGCAGCAGGAAGCCTCCAGGCTGTTTCACTGCCTGGTGTAGAAGTGTTTTTTGCTTTGTGGACAGGAGTTTGGGAGCTCCTCTGGTACTTGCTGCTTCAGGGCTTTGCTATTGCCCAGAAGTAAATGGCAGAGAAAAGCAGGCAGCACTGCCCCACTGCCTTCAGTGTTTGCTGCTTCTAAAGCAGAGAAAGCAGACAAGAAATGGAAACTGCCTTCAGGGTCAGAAGTCAATAACAGAGGGTGAAATGTCGCTGGTGTTAGAGCTGCTGTGCATGAAGCATGAGGGATGTGGGCAGTGGTGATCCTCAGCTCTGGAGCATGGATTTTTATCTCGAGACGGTGGGCTGGATTTCAGCTTGGTATTGGTTCTTTGGAGGAAGGATAACAGGTTTTCACTAAAATGTCTGTTTTGATTGCTTTTTCATGCACGTGCTTTCCCTGGCAAGTGAATGGACAGAGGGTGGCTCACGCTGTGCCTCGTAAGGAGAAGCATCTGTATGGCTGGGAGAAACGGCAGTGCCAGAGGAATGGCTGTGGTCAGACATTGGAGCGTGGCCATGCTGGTCAGAGGTGGCCTTTCCCTCATGATGGGGCTGTGCTGTTCTGCTGTCTGCACCTCTGGGCTCTTCTGCCTGCCTGTTTGCTCAGAACCTCAGTGCCTTTCTGCCCACTAAGATAATGTTTCCTATATTAAGTAACTCCTTTCCTTCTTACTGTAGGCTTAACCTGTAAAGCCGGAATGAGGAAAGATCCAGCTGAGGATTCAGACAAGTCTGTGAGTCCTTTCTGCTCCTCTTCCCACCAGCACTCAGTACAGCAGGTGCTGCAGTGCTGGGACTGGCATCTTTTTCAGCCTTGGCAGGTTTGGTACTTAAGATGAAGAAAAATGACAAAAGCCATTTTGTGAAGGTAGCAAAGGCACCTTTTTCTATTTCAGAGGTGTTGTAATAAATAGAACAAGTGAGGTCACGGGTTCTTCTTTTGCTGCATTTTGAGAAGTGCAAGCTTTGCACTGCTTAAAATAATAAGTAAATTCTGCTTAGTCTTGAGTTCCTCTTGGCTGCACCCTGCCTCAAACCATCCAGGGGTACAGAGATGGGTCTTTTCCCAGGTCTGCTGCTCCTATTGGATTTCTTTTTTTTTCTCTTTTTTTTTTTTTTTTTTTTTTTATGTTAGTGCTGTGGGCAGGAGAGCTCTCACTTCACTCCTACGTCAGTCCCTGCCTGAAAGAGCCACCAGGCCCTGCTCCTCTGGCATGAGAGGAAAGGGTTCTGCTTTATGTGAGGTTTTACTCTGAGCTCTGAAGTACGGCAAGGAGCAGGGCCATAGCACAAGTGGTAGAGCTCAAACTTCGATGGGGCTCACAAGTGCTCGAAGACCCTGCTGATGGAGGTGCACAGGTATGCTATGAGGCTGAGAGAAGTTAAAACCACGCTGCAATGAGGTGGGAATGCCGCAACTCCTGTAGCAAGCTAGCTGAGTAGGTTTACTGCAAAGACTGCAAGAGATGAGAGATTGCAACTCACTTGGGAACTGCTTTCACTCCCCCTTTCCGTTCTCCATTCTGTCAGAGGCACAGTGAAGCTGCTTCCCGCAGGTGAGGAAGCTTCTCCAGAAACAGGATGGAGAGGTTGGAGTGCAGCAGCAGAGCCTAAAAATTGAACCACTCCTGACTGTGTGTTGGTGTGTTTAAAAAAAAAAAAAAAAAAAAGTATGCACAACTCGGTATGCAAAACACAGTTGTCCTGTTTATCAGTGAGCGAAACCACATCCGGTCCCAGCTGGCATTCAGCCCCCTGCACTTGGATAAAAGGGTCTGAAGCTACAGTCCCTTTCCCCTATCTCCTACTTGTGCTGCAGACCAGTTGGCAAGGCAGTGCTAGTGGCCCAATTGGGTAATGTGAGCCCAGCATTGATTGTTCCCTGCCTGACCTTCCTGACACTGGTAGGATGGCCAGGTCCTCTATGTCTGCAACTGTCATGCTTGCAGACAAAAAGCAATGAATCTGGTCCCCAGCTTCTTCTTCTCCACTCTGCTGAATTTCTCTTGTCATTGCTCATTGCACACAAATGCAGAGCAGGTGGGCTTTAATGTGGAACTTATTTTAGATTAAGAAAAACAATGTAGGCTCTCTGTGCAAGCAGAGTTGGCTTTGTTCCCTATGTAGGGGGAATGTGGGCTTCAAAATGAGGACAGAAAATTCCCAGCCATTCAAAGGTACTGTAGGGGGGCAAAATAAGTGCATTTCTCTGATGTGCCAGGCTTGGGTGAGGAGGAGCTGCAGGATGTGCTGCATTCGAAGTTTGAAGCCAGCCTGCAGCAAGTGAAAGATGGTTTCGTTTGGAGAAGGTAATTCTAGCCTTTGCTGTATAGGGAGTTTTGGTCTCTACTTGAAGGATGCCAAGTTAGCAAAAACATTGTTTACATGAGGAAAAAGTGAGTAAATATCCATAAAGGAGGGGATGGTGTTCAGTATCTGTTTGCTGTTGCCAATTTCACTTGAGCTCTTGTTCATGAGAAGCTTCTCCCACTGTGAGGATGTGGAGGGAATGTGAGCCAACTGGGTGAGTTCCCTTTGGTGTCTCGTGGCCAGGGCCAGCCTGGGGTGTCATCCCAGAGTACGTGGGAGGGTTAGGAGAGACAGAGGGGTGTCAGGTGGCTTTCCTTGCTTTACAACTGCTTCAGAGCATGTTTGCGAGCATCAGAACAGAGCAAAAACATTCACACAGTTTTAAAGATTAAGAAGCAATGCGGGATTCAAGTGTGTGTGAGGGGGATGATAATACTGGTGCTGGATCCGCCCTTTGTTGTGCTTGCCCTTTCCCTCAGCTTTGCTGTTGTTCTAATGTGGCTAATGGAGGATATTCACGTGAGGTTGGGACTGACTTCCCCCTGGCCCGCTGTGCTGAGTGCTGGGCCATGGCACTGCGCTGGCAGAGGGGAGGCCCACCCCGCTGAGAGGTGCATGGGAGGTAAGACATGGCCTGTAGGGAGCTGTGGCTGTTCAAGCGTTTTTTAAACAGTACTGAATTTCTGTCTAGAAAATATTACTCATTCAAGTAACACAGAGTCTTTCAGACTTGAGTGTTTCATGCAGAAAATGTGTACAAGTTTTCAGGGAGCACCCTGGGGTGCTAACCTCCAGGAACTGCTCTGCAGCCCCTCCTCATCCCCAGCTTTGAGCATGGCCTGTAGATGCGGGGGCCCATCGCCTGCTGCCTGGCAGAGGAGGGCAGCTGGAGCCTATGGGACAGTGCCGGTCCCAGTGTGTGCCTTGTAGGCACAGGAGGCAGTGTGAGGAATGGCCTCTTGCTCAGGGCCATGACCTCAGCTCCCCTCTCAGTGCTGTGTGTGCAGGAAGGTGAGGTGTGCAGAAGGGCTGTGGAGGAGCGGGTGCTCGTCTTTAGCTGAGCTAAAGTCAAATCAGATTTTATATTGCGGAATCTCATCTCTCCTTAATCTTCAGAGATTTATCAGAAAGCTTAAAGTTAGGACAGAGCGCTGTGGCATCTAATCTCTCCTCCTGTCTGTCACAGAAAGTGCATTTCACCTACTTAGCGTTACTATAATCTGTGGCTGGAAGGGCTGAGGAATGGGATCTCTGCCATTTTGGGGTCATTTGCTCACCTACATTAGCAAAGCAGGGCCAGTGGGTGAGCAGTATGTGGGGAGCTGGGAGGTGCAGAGCCCCTGGGGGAACTTGGTGAGCCCAGTGTCAGTGCTGTGTGAAGTGCGGGCGATCTGCTTGTGGAGAAGAGGCAATCGGGATGGGGTTGCCCAGCCTTTTGCTATGGAAGAGGTGACTCAGAGACCTGGTATATGGCAGCTGCAGGGACCATGGCCATGGGGGCGGCACAGTGAAGAGAGAGTTTCCAGTGGGCTGCAAATCAGATGGCTCTTGAATGCAAGTTAACCTTGTCTCTGTTCTTGAGGATCATTTAATGGAAGGGATCTTTTGTCTTAAATAAGGACGATATATCTATATATGTAATGTTAGATTTCCTTGCAGGTGCAAAGAAATGCAGGTGAGAAATGGGAAGGAGCTCAGGAATGGCAACCAAGTGGAAAATCTTAAGTATTATTAGTGCTCCATGTTCCATACTTTTTGTTTCCTTTGCCTCCTGCAGGAGAAACTTGAGAGGCAGGTTCCCTTGAAGGAGGCATGTTTCTCCCTGCTGTCCTTCACTGTTGCAGCCTCCTGGGGCCACAAGAGGAGGCTAGGATGATGGACACCTGGTAAACATGCAGCAAAAGGGACTCTGTCCTACAAAGGCAGCAAGGGCTTGATCCAGCCAGCATGAGACTGTGGTGGCCGTGAAGGGAATTAAACACAACTTGCCTAGTGCTGCTTCATGGATGTTTTCTAGCTTTTTGAGAAAATGTAA